ACTACTCAGGTGCAGAGCTGGTTCTCAAAATCCATTTCCCTGGCCCACACATGACAGCTACTTATGACTTATACCGTGAGATGTGAGATGGGGACAACTTAGGCAGGCCTCTGCCAGGGGTCCTTGTGAAGAGGAGAGGCTGTCCTTTGTCTTGGGTGGCTCATGTAGTAATCTTTCTGGAGATAGGGCCTGGGCTAGATGATCTTTTGAGATTTTCTGGTTTCCAGTGGTCAGCTTCCTTTGCTGGATAAAGGGCTCGGACGGCAACCTGGCTGCCCCCCTCTCCCATGCATCATCCATAGTGGGGGTGGGAGCGGGGTCTCATACACTCAGCTCCCATCATCTTCATGTATCTTCAAGTCTAGGATGATGGCGCTTCTCTTGAACTGGTTTACTCCCAAGGCAGAGTGGGAGGAGGAAGAGAATGCCAGTAAGTTGGCAGAAAGCTGGCGATTAGCACAAAGTCAGGGATGTGGGAGGGAAAGAGGGGGGTAAATGACAAGCAAGTCTGAAGTCCACATTTTGATTGTGGCGGCCCATTTCCCACTTCCCTGGGCATTAATTTTACCAGCTATTGAACAGCCAGCAACACACACTGAATTTACAGAGACTGTGTCTACATAATCACAGTAACCAGCTGCAGTGTGAAAACTTAGCCTATCCGACATTTTTCTACAGTGGCAAAAGGCCAGGAAAAAAAAAAAAGAGCAAGTATGAGATACAGATTTGGTTTATACTAGTTACAAAAGAAGATAGTTTGTTACCTAATTGAGAACTTATGTCTTGATTTAGGTGTCCAGATGTGGATTTCAGACATGTCATTTATCGGCATCTTTCATGAAAGCAAAACACATATCCCATCGTAAGGCAAACAGGTATTAGCCTTAACAGGAGCCATGTACCAGGACTCCACTAAGCACCGTGTTTGTGATCTACTGCTCCTTTCCTCCTTTCATTGGAGACGCCTCTTAATCCCTCTGGCTGATATTTGACCCACAGAATTGACCATTTGTTTAGGTGTCATGAGGATATTTCATTTTCTTGGTACTCCCTGGGGCAATGCCAGGCACAGAGCTCTGACTCACTCAAGGCTCAGGGAAGAAGAACCTTTTCATTATCCATCTGATTACATTAGAAACCTCTGATGTTGCAAACTCCCATTCCTGTGAGCCCTCTAGGAGAAGATGCTACTGCGTTTGACCTGTGGGGAGACCAAGGCTGTGCGGAATTCAGAGATCTGTTTAGAGGACCTGTGGGAAGAGACCTCTCAACTGTGGTCGTGCACTTTTGCACGGTACTCCCTCTCTACCTCTCTCCAGCTTTCAGTTCATCCAGCCATACATAGGAGCGTCTACTCTGGGTAAGGCACCATGCTAGGCACTGTGGGTGAATCAAGTTGAATCAAGTCAAGCAAATACTAACCTAGACTGAGCTAAGTGCCATAGGAGATGATGATGATGGTAAAGCGCCCTTCAGAGAGACCTACTCTGTGGCAGGCACTGTTTTAGGTGCTCTGTGTGCACTTACTCAAATCTTTACAACAATGCGAGGTAGGAAATATCCCCTTTTTACATATGAGGAAACTGAGGTTCAGAGAGGTCCTGACATGGCCAAACTCATTCAATGAATAAGCAGCATGAGTATTCAAAGCATTGTTGTCTGGCACCAAAGCTTACATCCTTCTTTCTGCATCAGACTGAGATTGAAAAAAAAAAAGGCAGCAGAAGGTTCAGTGTTAGCCCNGACTGAGAATGAAAAAAAAAAAAGGCAGCAGAAGGTTCAGTGTTAGCCCTGAAGGAAATTACAGTAGAAGATAGAATGTGATCAGGTTCCTGAGCGAGGCAGAGGTCAGGCAAGGGACGGCATGGCAGAGCTGTCCGGGTGAGAAGGATCTGGAGAGGAGCTCCTTGGGTCAGGCTTTCTTGCTTCCCAGGCCAGCACTCAGTCTGCTGAAGATCTAAGTGCCAACTTGGTGACTAATCCTGCTTCCTTTATTTAGTAGCTGCTAATGTGACCTTGGGCAGGCTAGTAAAGTAACTAAGAGTCTGAACAATGGCACCAAAGAGACCAGGGTTTATGTTCCAGGCCCATTAATTTATTAGCTGTGTGTCCTTGGGCAAGTCACGTAACCACTCTGAACTGTGGTTTCCTCATTTGTGACATGAAGATCATAATAATGCCTGTCTCAGAGGACTGAGGTGGGGATTAAATGTGATACTGTGTGAAGTGCCTAGCGCAGTGTAATAGTCTATCAGCCAAGAGTTTAGTGCTTACCATGTGCTAGAGTAGACATTGTGCCCCAAATGCCTTATGTACATTTTCTGGTTTAATTCTGATAATAATATTATAGATGCTGTTATTATTGACATTGTAGAGATGAGCAAACTCAGTCTCAGAGTGGTTGCCCAAGGCGACACCTGGCAGGTGGCACAGCTGGAATACAGAGTACCCAGTAAATGAAACTTGAAATGAAAAAAGAATTGGAGGCATGAGGCCTCTGCTTCATGAGTTACACTAGGGTCTCTGGGGACCTGAAGGAGGATTTCTGTCCCTGCTCTGGTCCAGGAGGGAGAGGAGAAGCACCCTTTCTTCTGAGCAGGAGACCCTGGCTGCAGTCGAGGCATCCTCTGCCTCCAAAGACAGCAGATCAGAGGCTCCCAGGAGTGAGGGATTTCAGCTCCCTCAGGGCAAACTTGCCTTTCTCTCTGGTGATTATAGTTTGTCAATCGTTGGTGAGCAACGATTCCCCCAGCCCAGATATTCTNCTTTTTTTTTTTTTTTTTCCTGAGCAATGGGTTTGCTTTCTTTCTTTTTTAATGTGGGTGTGTGTCTATATAATTTCATTTATTTATTTTTGGCTGTGCTGGGTCTTCGTTGCTGCGGGGGCTTTTCTCTAGTTGCGGCAAGTGAGAGCTTCTCTCTAGTTGCAGTGCGCAGGCTTCTCATTGTGGTGGCTTCTCTTGTTGCAGAGCACAGGCTCTAGGGGGCATGGGCTCAGTAGTTGTGGTTCCTGGGCTCTAGAGAACAGGCTCAATAGTTGCGGCACACAGGCTTGGCTGTTCAATGGCATGTGGGATCTTCCCAGACCAGGGATCAAACTCGTGTTTCCTGCATTGGCAGGCGGATTCTTCACCACTGAACCACCAGGAAGCCCCAGAATTTACTTTCTAACCACATTTATTGACACCGTCAAACACAACAAAACAAAAGTTATGGCAACAAGCTCTGTACAGCTGACTTTTCAAGGCATTGGTTCCTTTGGGCTCCACTGCTACAATCAGGACCCAGACTTCTGAAATGTCAGACTCAGAAGGACCCTACGGATCATCTGGTCCAGGGTCAGCAAAGTATAATCCCATGGACCAAATCTAGCCTTGTACCTATTTTTGTACATAAAGTTTTATGGAACACAGCCATGCGTGTTCACTTGGGTATGTTTCTGGGTGCTTTCACGGTACCATGACAGAGTTGTGGAGCTGTAACAGAGACAGGCTGTCTTGCAAAACCTAAAATATCTGCTCTTTGACCCGTTACAGAAAATATCTGTTGCATACTTTGTAAACACTGTTGCATCAAATGTTTGTTTATTTAGTCTCACTCTCTTATTTTACATGCAGGGATACAAAGGTCCAGAAAGGGGGAGGGATTTTCCTAGGGCAGAACCAGGGTCCATAGCCTGAAGGTTTGACTCCTCCCCCACGGCTTTTTATGCCACTGAGGTCATCAATTCCTGCAGCTTGGCATGGACTCAGAGTTTGAATCCTAGCTTTGGTTGACCAGATGTGTGACCTTGGACAAGCTACATAAACTCTTTGAGCCTCCATTTTTTCATCTGACACTTGGGAATAATGCTTTCTATTTCTTGAGCTAATGCACAGGAACATAGGTGGTTGCAAGAATCAAAGGAACTTTAGTCTGTAATGATTTAGCCTGGGACTTGGCTCATAAAAAACACTCATCCAAAAACAGCACTACTATTATATTGATGTCCTCTGTAATATCAAGCTTCCCAGTGGTGCTAGTAATAAAGAATTCTCCTGCCAGTGCAGGAGATGTAAGAAACATGGGTTCGATCCTTGGGTCAGGAAGATCTGCTGGAAGAGGGCACAGCAATGCACTCCAGTATTCTTGCCTGGAGAATCCCATGAGCAGAAGAGCCTGGCAGGCTGCAGTGCATAGGGTCCTACAGAGTTGGACATAACTGAAGCCACTTAGCACGCCCATAATTTTATATGTATGAATCTTATTCCTTGCCTTCCCTCCAAATTTCAAAAGAAAAAGTGATATCCCTTCCCAGTTGTTCCTTATCTTTTTAGGTCCTAGACCTTATTGAGAATCTACTGAAAGCAATGGACACATTGCTTTATTCCACACTTTTTCTGAATCCCTAGTTGGGGATCCTTCAGTGACAAATTCTTGGCAGGGCCCGTTGATCAATTGATTGCCACCCTGTTGCTTCTTATTTTTGTTTGCTCCTGCTAACTTTATCTTGGTGTAACCTCTACTACTCTTGAGCAACAGAACTAATTCAGTGTTTACCGTTCATTGTGGAGGAGAACTTGCATAGAATAAAGTAAATGGATGCTGGCCTTTTTTGTCCTCCTGGAGTTCACAGTGTAAGATGGATAAGGGAAGTGTGCATCTGAGGATGTAGAGAGAATTGTGCCTGACACTGAACAGTAATGTGAGTTAAATAAGGAAACACATAAATATATGACATAGGTCTCGTGTTTCTCTGACTTCCTCTTCTTCCACTTTTGGGTTCTTTGAACCAAACCATCAAACCTCTTTTGGGGGATTTTCACTTGTGGTGGCCACCAAGTTCAGAAAGGTCTAAAAGAAGTGGTGGGAACCTTTTTCCTTGGGGGCATCTAAAAATTCTATCTGGACAAAGTGTTAGAGCCAAGCTTTGGAGTAGACAGATGGGGCCCCTGGGGAGCAAGGCAAGGAAGTGATGTCATAGAGTGATCTCTGCCTTCTCTGGCAGACGTGACTGGGCAGAACCCAGGGACATGTTTGGGAAATTGTGTGACATCACCTCAGGCCCTGTGGACATGGCGGAGGAGGGAGGAGTGTGAGAAAGAGGCAGTTGGCTTTGCCCATGTCTGTCGTGTCCTGAGGAACACTGGGACAGGAAATGCCCAGCGTTTCTCTACTGTTTACTGGACGCCAGACCCACAGATTTTGAAGGTTGCCTTGGGAGTCATGAAGAGATGAAGGGAGAAGGAGGAGGAGCATTGGTTTTCTGCCTCTTGTGGGACTGCCCTGGTAAGTGCTCGGGGGTAGGATATGTGGAAGATTTTGTAGAAACTTTTAGATAGGGGCTTGCCTGGTGGCTCAGACAGTAAAGAATCCACCTGCAATGCGGGAGACATGGGTTTGATCCCTGGGTTGGGAAGATCCCCTGGAGGATAGCATGGCCACCCACTCCAGTATTCTTGCCTGGAGAATCCCCATGGACAGAGGAGCCTGGCGGGCTTCAGTCCATAGGGTTGCAAAGAGTCAGACATGACTGAGTGACTAAGCACATAGCACAGAGCAGTTAGGGCATGGTGTTTATTACAAGTTCTTGGAAAGGCTTCCAAATATCTCCCTAATTCTTTAGAGTACTATCCCTTTAGGCATAGCATTTCCCTCTTGCAATAGTCCTATGTTAATTAACTATGAGTATAGTTACGCATCAAGCCTGTGTCAAGCTAATTTACAGGCGTCATCTCATTTAATCCTGCAAACAACACTTTTGTAGAAGACACTATTGGATCCAATTCACAGGTGAGGAGACTGAGGATAAGAGTGATTTATTAACTTGCTCAAGATTGTTCAGAGAGGATTAGAACAGAGGTGGTTTGACTCAAAGGTGGCACTTTTCGCCTCTCAGATAACCTGAGTTTGACTGTAGGCTGACTTCACAGATAAAGTGACAGGAATTTCTGGGTATCTCAGCAGGTCAGAGACCTTGGTCAGAGAGACAGAAGTTGTTCTGGTGTATGTGCTACCACACAATGTGGGCCCTTCTCTGGGCGAGATCTGAGGATTGCATCTTTCCTGCTAACCCCTCCCTGGGAACCTCAAGTGAGGGCAAGAGCTTGTATCAAGCTTGAGCCTTACTTCTTCCAGCAAGAAGCACAGGGGACCTGATCTAAAAATTGCCTTTAAGGACTGCAAAAGTTATTAATCTTATGGTGGCAATCAACTGTTGTCTATTTGTCTATCTCAGAGAGAGAGAGAGAGACAGAGAGAGCAGATATAGCCTCCTAAGACAGCATGAGAGATGTCAGTTAGACCTAAGGAAGTAGCTTATTAAACATCGGGTTAAATTCTAGTTGCTGCCATTTCCTAGCTTTGTCACTTTGGGACTTTGTTTAGTTAAGCTTCTGTTTATTTGTAAAATGTGGATTTTAATCATTCTTATGAGGATTAAATGAAACTTTGCCTGGTCCTAGAAAGCTCTCAGATAGTTATTATTGATGTTCTGTATATCTTAAAAACATGCAACAGGATTCTCAGTATCTGGAGCATGTAGGTACAGATTTTCCTAGTTGATCTCTCACTGATACTTTCAACCCCTTACTTGCCAATTGATACAGCTGATTTCTTTTTTCTTCCCTTATAAATACCCCTAAACAAACAGTGGCTGGAAAAATAACATAAATATAAAGGGCACTAACATTTGTTGAGAGTTTTCTGTGTACTAGGCTGGAGTTATGTGCTTTATATGCGCTATTTCATTTTAATAAAAGCATTTTGGCCAGTAGGTGGAAATAATATACCTGGCCTTTGAAAGGCAACTTGTGAGACTGACTCTACCACACCTAGAGAGCTCAGGACCTGCTGGAAATATTTCTTCACACAGAGACTCAAAACGAGGTTGGAGACCACCAGTATGGGTGTTGGTGCCTTGGGGAGAGAGTGGGGTATGTGGGTGGTGGGTTCTGTGAGCTTGCTATGCAGAGGGAAAGGGAAACAGCTTGGCCCAGCAGGCAGGGCAGTCTGTAATTCTTGGTCTCTGGTAGAATCAATGTCAACAGGAGTTTTCCATATCAGACCAAAGAGGCTCACAGACTATAAACCATCACATTAGAGGTGACCATTCATGCTCTAGAAAGGCAGGGAAGGAAGGGGAGACCTACATGAAACTCTACTGGCTCCCAAAACTTCAGAGAACCAGAGTCATGAGAAGGGAAAGAAGAAAGGAGGGAAAAGGGCAGGGAACAGACTTCAGTAAATATATATTTTCAAATAAATCCCAGGAGTGGAGTGGAAGGTAAAAAGAAAAAAAAAAATATTCAGGGACTTCCCTGGTGGTCCTGTGGCTAAAACTTTGCACTCCCAATGCAGGGGGCCCTGGTTCTATCCGTGGTCAGGGAACTAGATCCAACATGCCTCATCTAAAGATACCACACATTGCAACAAAGATCAAAGGTCCCATGTGCTGCAAATAAGATCCAGCACAGCCAAATAAATAAATAAACAAAAATAAATATTAACAAAATACTCATAAACCTTAAAAAAAATCAGCCTAGAGCTATTTTCTTTCAAGTCAGTCTGGGGAACCTGTTCCTAAAACAGCTGGACCAACTCCAGGTATAAAAGTTCAAACCTTTTGTTGTCACCTGAAAACTTCAGTAGGTTGCTTCACTCAGTCTGGAGGACTGCCCACTTTACCTCTTCTTGGTGCTGCTCCATTGGGAACCTAGGAATTTAGAAAGAAATAAAGAGCCACTTAGCAGGTAAAAGTTCGCCTACCCAGATGCTCAAACTTTACTGAGCATAAGAGCCACCTAGAGTAGCCTTAAAATGCAGATCTTGGGACCTAGCCCCAGATACATACATACATACACACACACACACACACACACACACACACACACACACATATATATACATACACACACACACACATATACACATATATATATAATTTTTTTTTTTTAGTTGTGAGTTAAATTTTATTTAGGAAGAAAGCATTTCAGACAACTCTGAGAAATAGCTCCAAAAAGGTAGACGGGAAGGTCAGTACATATGTGATTTTGGTGAAGGGGGCGTACTTGCAATCAAGCATATATTTTTTGCAAGAGGTTTCTGTTAGTCACAAGGAGCAGACATCACCATGAAGAATTTTAGTTCTTTTCTAGATATGAGGAGGTACAAGAATTGTAGCCCAAGATACTTTGATCCAGTAGGTATGAAGTGAGGTACAGGAATTTATATTTTTCACAAGTAACCCATTTTTCATGTGTCTTCTGCTGCAGAAGAACAGCAGACCACATTTTGAGAAACGTCATTTTAGTCCATCATTCCCATTTTACAGATCATCAAATGGAGGCCCAGAAAGTACAAATGACTTTGCTGAATGTCTCATAGGTGGGTTCTTGGAGGGTGTAGGTCTTAACCCTAGATTGTCTGCATACCAGTACTATTAGTCTTGCCTTGGCTAACCCATTAAAAATGACTGGTCTCCACTTACTGTGGTTTATTCCTTGCCAGGGGCCCATGGTTCTTCACATCTCAAGTCAGGGGTCATTTCCTCAGGGAAGATTGTCTTTCCCCTCCCCACCCCAGTCTAGGTGAGTTTCCTTTATTCTCTGCTCTCAGAAAACCACATCTCTCTCCTTCATGGCATTCCCTCTGGTTTGTGTTTTGTACTCACACCTTCATGTGATTACTGGATCAATATCTGCCTCTCTCTCTAGACTTCAGACTCAACAAGAGCAGGCATATTGTTTCTTTTTGCTCATCTGAGAAGCATTCTACCAGAGACTGTCTGATGAATCCTATGTGCTCAATAAATATTTATTAGATGAGTAATAGGATGAATGAGTGAATGAAAAGGGCAGGTTGATTTCAGCCTTAACTGAAACTCAAAATAAGGAAAAATTTGTGAAACTTTTGTCCTTCAATGGACTTTCTCTAGACATTTTTTTTTTGTTCTTGTTTTTGACCCACTTTTTTGATCCCAACATCTAATCCCATCCCTAATACCAGAGCTTCTTGTAGGCAAAATTGTGTAGAAGGAAGTTTGATTTGTTTGATTGTCTGTCTTTCTTTACTCTTTTCTATTTTTCCAGTGAATTTTGTGTTGGAAATTCATTCTCCTCCTGCAACCTTCCCTTCCTTTCAACTTTAACCCTTGTCCAAGATCTCAATGCTCTCTGACAGGTATGAGGTGATATATCACTGTGGTTTTGATTTGCATTTCCCTGATGATTAGTGATCCTGAACATCTTTTCATGTGTCTGTTGGCCATTTGTATGTCTTCTTTGGAAGAATATCTATTTAGGTCCTCTGCCCATTTTTAAATTGGGTTGTTTGTTTTCTTGATATTGAATTGTGTTAGTTCTTTGTATGTTTTGGATATTAATCTCTTACTGGATAGACTGTTTGCCGATGTATTTTCCCATTCAGTAGGCTGCCTTTTTATTTTACTGATAGTCTTCTTTGCTGTGCAAAAAGCTTTTAGTTTGATATAGTCCCATGTGTTTATTTTTGTTTTTGTTTTCCATCAAAAAGACAACAAATAAGTGTTGGCAAGGATGTAGAGAAAAGGGAACCCTCTTGCGCTATTGGTAGAAATGTAAATTGGTGCAGCCACCATGGAAAACAGTATGGATCTTCATAAAAATTTAAAAATAGAATTGCCATATAATCCAGCAATTGCACCTCTGAGTATTTACTCAAAGAAAACAAAAATGCTAATTAGAAAAGATATATGCACTCCAATGTTCACTGCAGCATTATTTATAATAGCCAACATACAGAAGCAACTTAAGTGCCCATAGATAGAAGAATGGATAAAGATGTGATATATGTATACACACAAACACACACCCAATGGAAAATTACCCATCTAATAAGAAAAGGAAATCTTGTCATTTGTGACAACATGGATGGATCTAGAGTGTATTATGCTCAGTGAAATAAATCAGATAGAAAAAGATACTGCATGATCTCACTTATATGTGAAATCTAAATAACAAACAAACAAAAAAAGGAAAACAGACCAATAGATACAGAGAAGAAACAGAATGAAGAGAGATGATGGGGTAGACAAAATAGGAGAAAGGGATTAAGAGGAACAAATTTCCAGTGATAAAATAAACAAGTCACAGGGATGTAATATCCAACACAAGGAATATGGTCAGTACTGTGGTAATGACTCTGTATGGGGACAGATGGTTGCTAGCCTTATTGTGGTGATCATTGCCTAATGTATGTAAATGACAAATCATTATGGAGCATACCTGAAACTAACATAATATTGTATAGTCACTGTATTTCAATAAAAATAAAATTCCTAGTGCTCTCAGATTGCTTCCAGACACCCCCAATCCTGACCTTTCTAACCCTCTGTTCCTGATCAAAGTCTACCTGTCCAATGTCCTATTTCCTGAATGCCACGTGCATATCAGGACAACTCTTTAAAGTGACAGCTTCCTGTCAACAGTGGATAATCACCTAATCTGTTGTTCCTTATCCTCCCCTTTAATCTGATCATCATTCTCTTAACCTAGGAGCTGGTCAAACCTTTGATATTAGGAATCATCCTCTATGGAGCCCAAGAAGCAGTGATAGGAGGAGGTTTCTAATGATCAGCAAGTGTTTATTGAGCCCTGTGTTAGGGTCTGAGGGACATATGAAGATGAACAAAGAGTATTTCTTCTTTATCATCTTTGATGATTTCTAATCATCAAAGATCTCCCAAGGATCTTTATGGGAAGGCAAGCATTCAATAATGGTGCAGGAGACTTTAGTATTTAGTTGCTTGTTGGTAAAGCATCTGCCTACAATTCAGGAGACCTGGGTTCAATCCCTGGGTCAGAAAGATCTCCTGGAGAAGGAAATGGCAACCCATTCAAGTATTCTTGCCTGGAAAATCCCATGGACAGAGGAGCCTGGTAGGCTACAGTCCATGACATGACTGAGTGACTTCACTCCAAATAAATGCTGGTAACAACATTATGAGTTTAAATCAGATGATGTGTATAACACACTTTGTATTAGGCTGGACACATAATAGGCCCAGTCAGTAATGTTAATTCTTCTCTCTTAGGGAGGGAGAGATTGCTCAGGGCTGGAGTCAGCTAACTGGTCTCCACTGAGGAGGGCACTCTTTTAGTAGCTTTGGGAGCATGTTCAACTTCTGAAGAAACTCTCTCAACTACATAACTGTGCCCATTTTTATTCAGAACTGATTTCTACTAAGCAATAATTACAGAAAAAGAATATATATATATACATTTTTTACTTGCTGTATGTACACAGAAGGGGTGAGAATCATAACTGGAAGAGACTGCAGAGGTTGTGTGACCCTTCTCTCATTTACGGATGGTGGAACTGAGGCCAGACAAGTGACATGACCATGGTCACTCAGAGCCAGAGCTGGGACTGAGGCCTCAAATATCCAGCCCCAAATTCTTAAAATTCAACAGATCTAATATAAAGGGGACAACAGAGGATGAGATGGCTGGATGGCATCACTGACTCGATGGGCGTGAGTTTGAGTAAACTCCGGGAATTTGTGATGGACAGGGAGGCCTGGCGTGCTGCGATTCATGGGGTCGTGAAGAGTCAGACACGACTGAGTGACTGAACTGACTGACTGAATATAACTGTATATTATTCACATTATTTAACCACTAAGCAAATGAAAATAGCTTTTAAAAAATTATCAAATTTTGTGCTTATGGTAAACCTCTGGAAAGGATAGAAAACAAAAAAGAAATCAACATCTTATTCCACTATCCAGAGAGAGCATCTCTGTAAACATTTTGGCAAATGTTTTAAGACCACACACACACACATCCTGCTCGGGCCCTTAGCCTCCATTCCACATCCCTTTGTGCCCGCTGCTGTCCACTGGGCTTAGGCTGACCCTCCCTTCCAGCTCTAGAAGTGGACACTCTGACCCAGTCAGAGCCAATGAGAGCCCAGGGGCTCCTTGTCCATGGGATTTGAGGATTAGACTACAAAGAGTTTAGAGTAAGGTCTGGAAGCATTCCAGCCATCATGCAACAACAGTGAGGGTACCTGTCTGGCTCTGGAGCTGAATAGAGCTGAGAGATAGTGTCTGCCCTTCCCCTAGGACTTAGTAGGAAAATCTCTCTGCACTATAGTAACTAGCTGGCTATTAACCAGTGACTTTGATTCTCAGTAGAAGCACTTTGAGCAAGTCACTTTATCTCTCTGGGCCCAGTTTCCTCATCTCTAAAGTGGGACAAATACTTTGGAGATTATAGTGAGAACAAGTCACTATTGAGTACCAATAATAATGATGACATTTACAACTGCCTCTGTTAATTGTTTGCTGTGATCAGGACTTAAGCCAAGCAGTTTAAAATAGTGTTTCATTTACTCCTCACACCTGCAGAGAGTAGAAGGGGGATCTGCCTATGCTTGCCTGTGTAATGGTGAAGGAATGAAGTACAGAACCAGATTCCAGCTGCCCTGGTTCCTGTCACAGTCATTTTGCTAACTGATTCCTTCTGTCTCTCTGAATGTCTGGTAGGAGGATCTTGGTGAGTATCAGAACCTCTTGGCTGGAGGCCACCTTTGCCCTCTACAGGGGACAGGACCTTGGTTCCAAACTAGAGAGAGGGAAGTGCTGGCTGGGCTGTCGCTGGGAGGCTGGGACACTGGCCAGAGCCTTCTGTCTGCAGTGCCCCTCTTTCTGGCTGGGCCCCAGGGTTCCCTAAGTAACCACAGGGACGCAGCACAGATTTATGGCCCCGCTGCTCCTGAGCAAGTACCTGACATGTTCTGTCTGAGAGCGATGGTGTCTGGCTCCAGATGACTCATCAGGAGGAGAACAGACACATGCAGGGCGTACAGAAGAAGCTTCTCACCTCCCCGAAGCTAGGAGACCAAGAGGAATCACTCTATCACACAGATTGTTCAAAAGGCAGATGCTCAAGACTCCCACTTTATAGAAGGGGACATCTGTTCCTTCATGGAGTACATGAACATTGGTTGAGCTTTGTGCCAGGCTGGGTTAGACCATGTGGGGAACACAAACAAAGAAAAAACATAGACTCTGCCATCAACAATGCTGAAAGAAGACGTGAAACAAGGAACCATCACCAGGGAGGGATGTCAAAGTGTGGCAGGGCTCCAGAGAGTCAGCCTGTCAATCATTTGTATTTAAGTAGGGTCAACTTCACTTCGCCTTATTCTTTTAGAATCTAGTAGGTGCTGAGGACAGCCAAGATGAACAAGAAACTCCTCAAGAAACTTTTAGAAAAGTGTTGGGATGACACAGAGAAGTCAGGACATTTCTCTCTCATCCTTCCTCCATTGCTCTCGCTGACCAGACAGGTTCAACAACGTCTGTCTCAGTGTCTACCTGTTACCTCTACCTCCACCTCCATCTATACATACATATTTCTAAATGGCTTGCTATATACCAGCATGAACTTTCTACAAAGTATTATGCCTAAGAGATTTAACTCACAATAGCAAATAAATATGTAACACCCAGGAATAACTTTAACAAGAAATGTACAGGACCTAAATGGAAAAAATGACAAAATTTTAGTAAGGAGCATGAAAGAGGACTTGAACAAATAGAAAGATGTATTGTGCTTCTGGAAGTCTTGTAAAGATGTCAATGTCCCATAGTTTAATCTATTAATTTAAGGCGATTCCATCCAAAATATCAATGGGATTTGGAAGGAACTTAACAAAATGATTCCAAAGTGCTTCTGGAAGAATAAATGCTTAAGAATAGCCATTTTTTTTTTCCAAAAAAGGAGGGCCACATGGAGGGAATTGCCCTACTAGATTAAAATGCTGGATGATGAGACTGGCAGAGGGTAGGCTGGCAGATGACTGGAAGAGCATAGATCATCTGAACAAAGATCAACTATGCATGAAAACTAGTATGTGATAAAGGTGACATTTCCATTCTTTACAAATGGTATCAACTCTGGATATTTGGAAAAAAATAAAGTTAGAGCTTTACTTTTCACCTTACATAAAATATAAATTCCACACAGAGATTGAATGTGACCATCTAAATCATGAAAATACTAAAAGAAAGCATAGGTGCATAGTTTTAGCTTCTTAGGGTTAGGGAAATTCTTTTTAGCAATGACATTAACATCAGAAACCATAAAAAAAAGAGTATGACTATAAATAAAAATGTAAAACTTATGTGGCAAAACCTCCCACATTATCAAGTTAAAACACAAAGGATATATTTAAAACATACATTTGAGTTGTTTAAATAATAGATAATTAACATTAGATTTTTTTTCATTTATTTTTATTAGTTGGAGGCTAATTTACAATATTGTAGTGGTTTTTGCCATACATTGACATGAATCAGCCATGGATTTACATGTGTTCCACATCCTGATCCCCCCTCCCACCTCCCTCCCCATCCCATCCCTCTGGGTCTTCCCAGTACACCAGCCCTGAGCACTTGTCTCGTGCATCCAACCTGGGCTGGCAATCTGTTTCACACTTGATGATATACTTCTTTCAATGCTATTCTCTCAGATCATCCAAGCCTCACCTTCTCCCACAAACTTTAAGTGACACAATGGACCAACTAGACCTAATTGATATCTATAGGACATTTCACCTCAAAACAATCAATTTCACCTTTTTCTCAAGTGCACACGGAACCTTCTCCAGAATAGATCACATCCTGGGCCATAAATCTAGCCTTGGTAAATTCAAAAAAATTGAAATCATTCCAGTCATCTTTTCTGACCACAATGCAGTAANTGGTGTTGGAGAAGACTCTTGAGAGTCCCTTGGACTGCAAGGAGATCCAACCAGTCCATCCTAAAGGAGATCAGTCCTGGGTGTTCATTGAAAGGACTGATGCTGAAGCTGAAACTCCGGTACTTTGGCCACCTCATGCGACGAGTTGATTCATTGGAAAAGACCCTGATGCTGGGAAAGGTTGAGGGCAGGAAGAGAAGGAGTTGACAGAGGATGAGATGGTTGGATGGCATCACCGACTCAATAGACATGAGTTTGGGTAAACTCCGGGAATTGGTGATAGACAGGGAGGCCTGGCATGCTGCAGTTCATGGGGTCACAAAGAGTCAGACACAACTGAGCAACTGAGCTGAACTGAAATTGTTTAACCATGATATCTGGTCTTTACCTACTGGACAGATAGTAAAGAATAAAACTGAGTTTTAAAAGTCTGAAAAGGGTGAGGAAAATTGATTGTTTCATACAGTGATGGTGGGCATGTAAACTGGCACATTGCTAAGGGGCATTTGACAACATATATCAATGGGCTTGAAAATATGAAAGTCCTTTAACACAGCGCCCCATTTGTTGAAATTTATCTTAATAAAAGAAGCAAACAAATGTGTAAAGATCTGTCATCATGATTTTTTATATAAAAGCAAAGACACACACACACACACACACACACACACACACACACATGCTTGCAACCTGATTGGAAGCAGCTTAAATGTCTGCCAAGGGGGAACTGGTTAAGACATTGCCATAAACCCACACAGAGAATGCCATGAGGGCTTTTAATGACAATGATGTAGAATCATGTTGTGTATATTTAATGACATTTTGCTCATTAAATATTGAAAGTGAAAAAAACTGGGATGCCACACTGCAAATGGCTCAAATCTACTCTTATATAAATGTTTAGATGCTTTAAAAAGAGGTAGTAAGCAGATAGACAAATATTAGCTGAGATTGTATCTGAGTAGGTAGAAAGATTATAGGTGATTTCATAATTTTCCATATTTTCTGAAGGTATTCTTTTTTTTTTTTTTCAAACAGCAGGCCTGTAATCAACTGTCTCCCTTCCCCTGCAAAAATTATTTTGAAAGGATGAAGTCAATTGGAGTTAAATCTACTGAATAATATAGGAATCAAGATGGAAGGCTTTTTTGCTTAGAGATCCACTAACGCTGTACTTAACCTATTTCCCCACAAACAGTTTGACCTATTTTGTTCCTTCTGCTAGAAGTATTCATTTCAAGTTTCCTTCCACTTAATAATCCCAGTCCTCTCCACTGATTAGAGTCCCACCAGCCTTGGAGTGTTAGCTAATTCCCCGTTGACCTCCCTGGCCCTTGCAGCTGGATCTGCTTGCTCCTTCCTCAAATTCTCCCACAGCAGGTCCGGCACTGTCCACACCTGCCCCTGGGTGTCACAGTTTCTTTGGAACCTGTCCTATTCCTCTGTCTTCACAGGAGATTCAAGATGGAGTTCTGCAGAATGGGATGAGGATGGGGAAGCTCCGACTGAGAGAACAAAAGACATCAAGTTGAAAGGTAGGTCACATCTATGAAGGTCTAAATGCAGAAATCAGGGAGTGACCAAATCTGGCTGGGTAGACTTAAACTGGAACCAGAGACGTGAGACCTACCAGGACCATGTGCTTTTGAGGACCCTTGGTTCTAGAAAACTAGCTCCAAGTAGATTAAGCGAAAACAGCAATTTACTGTGTTAGTTGAGTATCACAGGCAATTTAAAACTGGCATGTACCTGCACTTCAGGAGCAACTGGACTCAGGGTTCAAGACCCTTTGAATAACTCCTCACATAACTTATTTCATCTTTGTTTCTTTCCACAGGATGAAACCCTCTTCCTGTGATTTACAAGAAGAGAAACAAGGCCACAGAAAGTCCTAGTTTTTATACCTTAGCATGTGGGCAGCCACAAAAAGCCTGGGTCCTTTATATCAGTCTTGTCCCAAAACTTCCATGGAAGGGTTCAGGTAAATCTGAGGGTCGGGGTTTATATATGAACCAATCAGCTGTCACTAGGCAATGGCTTCTGTCATTGGCTAGGCTTTGGTAGGTGACCAGCCCTGAACCATCAATACTGGCCAGGGAAAGGGCATCACATTCCTATGGGATGGCACCCATGGTGACCATGTGGATAAGAGAGGAACAGTTCTTAGTAAGAAGGTGCCTTGTAGGTATTTACTTCAGAGCACATAAGAATCCAGAATGGAATGAAGGAAAGAAGAGCCTGACAGTTTGCCTAGAAAACCACTTAACATTTGAAAATTTTTTTTTATGATCCAGCCAGCATATGATGTTTGGTTTGATCGGACACCTGCCTTATTTTTTCCTTCTAAATTATAAATGCTTTGAGGTTCTGGACTGTTTTGTCATTGTTGTTGCCCATCTCTCAATGAGAGACTCTCTCCCAAGTCTCTAGCTTAGCTTCTATTCGTTGATACTAGCATCAGATAGTGAGGAAACTCCCAAGCAAAAGGAGCAGTCAATACTGCCAGAATAATGTCATAGAATGTTTTAAGGATTAAATGAGGTAACATATAAAATCCTTAGATAGTGACTGGCATCTTGCAAATGGTCAATAATTAGTAATAAAAATTATAATAAAATATTTAAAAATCACCTTGTTGGAATATATAAACATATGTTTAATGTGCTAACAGCTTCTAATGTCTATATTCTTGATTTAACCCCTAGGTTATGAACATAAGTCAGAGGCATAATTTGCTGAGTATAATTGATAATTAGATGCTTATCAGATGGTGGGAATGTAAACTGATACAGCCGTTATGGAGAACACTATGGATATTCCTTTGAAAGCTAGGAATAAATCTACTGTATGATCCAGTAATACTACTATTGGCTTATACCCTGAGAAAGCCACAATTCTAATAGACAAACATACCCCAAAGTTCATTGCAGCACTATTTACAATAGCCAGGACATGGAAACAACCTAGATGTCCATCTGTAGATAAATGAATAAAGAAGATGTAGTACATATATATAATGGAATATTACTCAGGCATAGAAAGACTGAATCTGAGTCAGTTTTAGTGAGGTGGATGAACCCACACCTGTTATACAGAGTGAAGTAAGTCAGAAAGAGAAAAACAAATATTATATATTAACTCATATATATGGAATCTAGAAAAGTGGTATTGATGAACCTATTTGCAGGGAAGGAATGAAGATGCAGAAGTAGAGAATGGACTTGTAGACACAGTTGAGAAAGGAGACAGTGGAATGAATGGAGAAAGCAGCATCAATATATATGTACACTATCAGGTGAAAACTAGATAGCTGGTGAGAAGCTGCTATATAACACAGGGACGCCAGCCTGGTGCTGTGTGATGACTTAGAGGGGTGCAAAGTGGGGAATGGACGGGGCTCAGGAGGGAGAGTATATATGTATAATTATGGCTGATTTGCACTGTTGTATGGCAGAAACCAACACAACATTGGAAAGCAATCTTTCTCCAATTAAAAAAAATTTTCTTTTAAGTATATAAAAAACCTGTTAGGCATATGGCTCTCCCACCAAAAAAGATGCTTATCATAGTTTCAATTGTGTCACACCCATGCATGCACACACACTCTTTCTGGGGATCAGGTTCTGTGATCTAGTGACTTTTAAAAATCTAAGGGCATAATTCTCTGTTACTATGCTTTATGAATATTTCAGGAGTCTCTCTCTTTCTCTCTTTCCCCTGCTTTCTGTGTTCGCAGGAAACCACTGAACTTGTCGGGTTGTGGTGTTGACAGGGGTCAATAGGGACAATTCTTCAGTAGTTCTTATGGGTGGTGCAGAAGCAACCAAATATGTTTGATAGAATCACAGACCAGCGTAATTTGTTTCTTTCTTTAAAAATGTTTAAAAATGTTATAGGTGATTTATAATACTGTATTAGTTTCAGTATTTTAATAAATTATAATCCATTTAAAGTTATTATGAAATCATGACTACCTTCTCTGTGCTGTATAATACACTCTTGTTGCTTATTTACTTTATACATAGCAGTTTATGTCTCTTAATCCCACTCCACTATCTGGCTCCTTCCCCTCCCTGTCCCTACTGGAACCACTAACTGTGTATCTGTGAGTCTGTTTCTATTTTGTTATATTTGCTCATTTATTTTATATTTTAGATATAAGTGATAACATATATCAAATATAGTATTTGTCTTATTTTACTAAGCATAATTTACTTTAGGTCTGTTCACATTTTTGCAAATGACAGAATTTCATTATTTTCTATGTCCAGTACTATTTCACTGCATATATATGTATATATATATGCAGTATATAATATATGGTATATAAGATGTGGTATATATATATATATATATATATCCATTCATATGTTGATGGACCCTTAGGTTGCTTTCATATCTTGGTTATTGTAAATAATGCTGCATGTCTCAATAAACATTGAGATGCATGTATCTTTTCAAATTACTGTTTTCATTTTCTTTGGATATACACTCAGAAGTGAAACTGCTGTATCACATGGTAGCTCTATTTTTAGTTCTTTGAGGAAATGCTGTACTACATACATTAGTGGCTGCACTAATTTACAATTTACATTCCCACCAACAGTGTATGAGAATTCCCGTTGCTTCAAGGTGAATTAGACATTTTAATCCCTCAGATTATCTATTTATTCTGCTGTACTTTCTTTACAGAGTAAAGAAACTTCACACCAAACTAACAGTGTTTCTTTTTTAATGTCCATGGACACCTTCTCAGAGGGGACCCTGGAAATTATCACTTGGTTGGTGGAATTTCTCTGCCTCCAAGATTTTTCACTCCTNCATTTGTTCTAGTTCTGTGAAAAGTGTCATGGGTATTTTGATAGGCATTGCATTAGATCTGTAGATTGCTTTGGGTAATATGGACATTTTGACAATACCAATTCTTCCAACCCAAGAGCATGGGATATCTTTTCATTTCTTTGTATCATTTTCAATTTCCTTCATCATTGTTTTGTATTTTTAAGAGTATTTTATTATTTTTGATGCAAATGTAAAGGAGTTATTTTCTTAATTTCTCTTTCAGACAGTTTGTTATTAGTGTATAGAAGGGCAACAGATTGTTATATATTAATTTTGTATGCTGAAACTTTACTGAATTGATTTATTAGTTCTAACAGTTTTTTGATGGAGACTTTAGGGTTTTCTATACATAGTACCATGTCATCTGCAAATAGTGACAGTTTTACTTCTCCCCTTCTCATATGAACCAGTGCAACTGGTGGAATCATAGGAGATGCCACAGACCAGCCTTGCCCAGGGCTTCTCTGACTGTGGTTTGCCATCCTGGCCAGGCAGGAAGAGGAGAGAGGTAGGGAGAGAGAGAGGGAACAGGGAGGGGTGGTGAGTGTTATTAGTTTGATGGCATTGGAATCACAGCTGTGCCAGCCCCTGGGCTCTCAGGCATACTTGTTTTTTCAGGCGCCAGTGTCCCTTGTTTTTATCCTGCTACTGAGCATTTTATAACTGGATAAGAAAGAGGTGGCCAAACTACTTATATATCCATGTAGATCAGAGTGACAGAGAAGGTCCCAGCAGGAGGGGACTTTGAAGATCATGGACCCAGACTATTCAATTTATAGATGAAAGCTCTGGGGGTCTGGAAGGAAAATCTTGACTCAAATGTTTACCAACAGGGACTGGTCTGGGTCCTTTTGAGACCTAGATGGGACAACTCTGTGAAGAGTTACCTGTTGGCATTTGACCTTGAAGAGAGGTGGACATAGATTTCAGGAAACTTGGAAGATCATTGGAGGAGACATTTCTGGAGGCAAAGAAAGTTTTTAAAATCTGTTAAATGACTACCTGTTTCATCCACAGGTGGGGCTGGTCAAGACAGCCATAGGAGCCGGTGGGAGAGGCTGAGGAGTTCAGGGAAATAGCCCCTAGGGTCCAAAACACTGCACTTCAATTCCAGCTCTGCCACCTCCTTGCTGTGTGACTTTCCGTCAGTTGCTTGATTGTCTGAGCCTTGATTGCCTCCTCAGCTACATGGAGATAATAAAGCTGTTGTCAAAAGGTTTCAAAGGGTTTCTGGGAGAAAAATGAAAGGAAACAAATGCAAGCAATTTCTAAACTGCCCATATTATATAAATCATTATTTGGGACTTGGACAGAGTTTGGTTACATGGAGTTTTTTTTTTTTAATCTATTTTTATTTATTTGGTTGTTCCGGGTTTTAGTTGAGGCATGTGGGATCTAGCTCTCTGACAGGGATCAAACAGTGGCGCCCTGCATTGGGAGCACAGTCTTAGCCACTGGACCACCAGGGAAGTCCCACATAAAGTTTTTTTTTTTTTTTAATCACTTCAGAAGGGAATTCTTGGATTCTTATGTGCTGGGCACTGAGTTAGACACTTCCCCCAATCACTGAATATGTTTAATGATCCTGCTTCTGTCTTAGCAACCTGGAGGAATAAGATGCTTGATCTGCCCTATGCTAGGCAGTATCCTCTGCCCTTGAGAATTTTGTCCAGGGGGATGTTACATCTGAGATTCCAGTGGAGCATGGCTGATGAATATGTTTCCTGAGATGATCACATCAGAAAACAAGAATGTATTTGACAGATAACTTAATGTGCTCTTCAACATGTGGTTAGTTTTACATTATATTAAATTTTCAAGCCCTGTGAAATAAGGGATTCATGGGTCGCTCTTCTTCCTCCCCACCCTTCCACACCCACATTCACTGAACAATAGAGATCGTCAGATATTCCCTCCCTTCCCTGAGCACACACCTTCCATCTGAGTCAGAAGTATGCTGGAGAATTCCAGGAACACATTTAATCACTTAAAATTGGTCGGTGCCATCAATCTCTGGGGAACTGATACAAAACCTGGGAATTATAGCAAATGTTCTTCCGGAAGCACACTGCTGAAAAGATATCTCTTTTCAGCCTCAGGTTTGGTTTCAAACCCAAGGCTTTTAACATTTTAAGTTAATCTGAACTGATCTTGAATAACTGAATCGAATGTGTCTTCTCTTCTTTCTTTTCCTATTGATAGCTTGTTTATTGAAACAGAAGAATGTTCCATTTAAAATTCATTTTCTTTTGAATTCTAGATAATAGAATCAGAAATTCTTAGTTCTGCTTAATCTGTAAGTAACAGGAATGTTCTCTAATGATTCCACAAATCTTTGCTGAGATCTTTCTATATGCCAAGCACTATGCTGGGAACTGGGATACAGGATTGATGGGTATGAAGGATGCTCAGCCATTCTTTCATTAATCTATTCATTGATTCAAGAGGTATTTACTGAGTACCTCCTGCAGGTGTCAGGCACTGCGCTATGTGAAGGGGACATAGAGCTGAACAAGACAGAGATGATCCTGCTCTCTTAGATCTTACAGTCTTTAGGAAGCACTAAAACATGGGCTGTGCCTTCTAGGAGCTCTCAGCTTGGTGGATGAAAAAGGCAAAGCCACAACACCTGCAAACTACTCTGCAAGAACTTCAGTAGAGCTGTGTGGCAGAGCACTCTGGAATGCCAAAGGGAGGATGGGAATGATATTGGGGAAGGCTGCAGTTATAAATATTGAATGCAAGCTGTGAATGTCTGGGAGATGAGTATGAATTCCAATTCTAGTGACCTTGGCTGCCCCTTGTCTTCATGTCCTTTTTTTTTAATTTGTGAAATGAAGGTAGTTGTGACACCTACCCCAGGGCTGTCAAGCTTAAACAAGGCCGTATTTGTAAAGCACTTAACACACCGTGCCTAGAGGCTACTTCTCTTCTTTCACCTTCAGAGTTCATTCTAGACACACTCCTAGGAAGATTAAGACTCCTTCGGGTCTAAGATGGGGGGTGAGCTGGGGAAATAGGTCCATTTGGTCTTTGCTGCCATCCTGGTCTAGAAAGGCAATGCCTGGCGAGAGGAAGAATACTGGGCTCAGGCTGAGTTCCAGTTGTTGGCCTAGGTCAGTATTTCTCCAAGTATGGTCT